GGAGTCTGATACATCATCCCCGTGTTCACTTATGGAAAATGATTACAGTTACTAGAGCTAGTCAAAGATTCCGGTAATTTGACACTACGGTAGCTTCTGTAAAGTTTTTGAATAAAATAGATTTGTATATTATAGTTTGCCCTTTTTTATTTGAATTTTTTTTTTCGGTTGTACTACTGATTCTTAAACAGGATATATCTTTTGTAAATGTTTGCGTTAATGAGAAGCAATAGGGGGAAGAAAACAAGCTTAAAAATTGTTATGTGCTTATTTTTAATATTTTAGAATTTTTTTTTTATTTTTTAATATAATCTAATTGTATTCCACATCTCGTGAAAGACGCTTTGTGGGTTTATAAATATTCTGAGCACCCTCTTCTTACAAGTATGTTTTAAGGGTAGGTTCTCAAAATGGTTATAGTTGGTATCAAAATAGGGAAACCAATGTACAATCAAATATGTTCGAAAGCATACCTACAACATTTACTTCAGCCTCAAACGAGAGGATTGTGAGAAAAATCTAGAGAAGAAAAGTGAACTTTTTTAGTTGTGCGTGTTGTGTCATCTTTCGTGTAGAGTCATACTAATCTTCTCTGTACGGAGAATGATACGTACAGATCGAAGAAAAAAAAAAGGTCGATATTTTCTTAGGATGTGTACTTTCTTATTGAGAATCCCGATTTCCAGCAATTTCAATTAAATTAGAAGATTTATTTTATTTTTTGATATAGTGCTAGATCTACTGAAAAATTTAATGCTGTTAAATGATTAGTAACTGCATCATCATAATCTCATTTGTTGTAAAACTTAAAATTGGTAGTTTTAATAAAGAAATGTTTGATGAGTGTATTTTTTGAAATGCAAAGACAAACTTATATTAGAAAACAAGTCACCATGGAACCCAATTACAATTCAATTAAATGGGGAATTAGTAGCAACATAAAGCGAGCACATAATTTATTCTATATCTATCTCTAGTCGTAAAATAGTACGACCCACAATCTACATCCCAAAATAAAGCTACAATATCATATATGAATACATTGGTAGCGAAAATATTCCTTCTTTAAGCGCCAAAGATTTTGCATGTGTCAAAAAAAAAAAAAGTCCATAATTACGTTGCGAGCAAGCAACTAATCAACTATAAGCATACCAAAATGAATTAATAACTAAATGATGCATTTTTACTAGTTTTGGTCATTGCTACATATCGAATGGTAGAACTAAAACAAAAATGTCATTTAAGTAATCAAATTGAAGCAAATCAAGATTTTTTAGTGACCAACATGAAATAAATATATAATTTGTGTGACTTTATGAATATTATATTTGCCCAAAAATGAAATAGAGTTAGTGCCCGTTTGACACATTATTTTATGATTTGTTATAAGACCATTTTCAACAATATATTTATACAATAAAATATTCTACACATATAGTAAAAAAAATTTATTACTTTTTAACCAAATATTCTTTTAAAAATGTTATTCAAAACTCCTTTTTTTTCCCCAATCATACAGGCTCTTAATCGTGTTATGATATCTTCAAAAAATAAAGTCAGAATAAAACTAATTTCAAATTGGGATTTTTTTCACTTATCTCAAAAGTAGGGACTCTCACTGCAATTTTCTATTAAAGTTCAAAACATAAAAAGTAATAAGAATCATTCAGGCTCTTAATCTTGTTATCAGATCTTCAAAAAATAAGGTCAGAATAAGAATAATTTCAAATAGGTATTTTTTTCACTTATCTCAAAAGTTAGGGACTCTCACTGCAATTTTCTTTTAAAGTTCAAAACGAAAAATGAAACGTCGACAGCAGGGTTCGAACCTGCGCGGGCAAAGCCCAACAGATTTCAAGTCTGTCTCCTTAACCACTCGGACATATCGACTTCGGTTTTACATGAATACGTTATTTAAAATATTTTTAAATCAAAACTGGTAAGTTAAACCCTAACAAATGTGACCAGTGATAAAACGTTAATTAGTTTATCGTTATCATTAACAGAGTATAACACTAGAACTAATATATGTTAGAATAGATGCCCATCTTTCTCTAGATGTTAATAAACAAACAAGTTTCGCACGTGAATTTTACTTTACACCGCTATTTGACCTCTATGTTCTAAAATTTATTTTTTCTCAAATTCATTTCATTCTGGAACTCTCAACTTTTATCCATTTTCTAACCACATTTTTCATAAATTTTTATCAAAATTTAATAAAATTCTAATAATAACTTAAACCAAATTGGGGCAAAGGCTCTTTAGAAGTAAAGTGGAAGCCCTCGGTGCATGAATAAAGCTCCAAATACAGAAAAAAAAAATTAATAGAATGTGTATCGATGCCAATGTGGCAAAATGTGATTGGGAAATTTTATTTTTTATTTTTTATTTTTTTTCCAGTGATACCGAGTCATATGTTATCAGTAAGGATTTTCTGTCAAAATATTTTATACTTTAGTATGATTATCGGTGCATTTACAAATACTTGCACCACTTCATATTTTATTTTTTTAATGGTTATTCCCTTTGTACAAGGAAATTTTGTACAGGATGTATGTAGGAGCTGTGCCGTTATGGTTGAATTTTTTATTTTTTTTTCCAATTTCCAATGTGAAAATGGTAGTGTGCCTTGTAAATTCCCTGTACACATAACATGGTCGTTTTTTAATAAGTAATATTATTTAATTTCACTGAAATTATGACAATAGTCTATTTGATGCTAATTTAGCATTAAATGATAAATACAATTAAATGAGTCATTTAATTCCATGTTTTATTTAACCTATCACCTAAAAGTACATAAACTGAATTATAACTCCAATAAAGTTATATAGCTTCTTTTTTTTTTTTTTTCTAAAAAATACTACCACTATGCAGTCTATGCTACTAGTAAGAGAATAGATTATTCTAAAATAGACCTGTTAAAGATTATTCCTTTTCATTCACTGCAATATTCCCGAAATGAAGAAGCATTTTACGTATCAATGCTGTCGGTCCAACCTCCAGGGTCAGGGACCAACTCAAAAACAGGGGGCTGAAATGGCCTTAGCCCTTGTTTAAATCCCATGGACCCAGATGAAGGTCACCACCTCAGCCCCTGTTTTTGAGCCTGTCCCTGATCCTGGTCATGTATGCATTTCTACCTGCTACTTTCCTTCTGACTATATTACAATATATCCACCTAAAAAATCTCGACTTTGTTCACTTTGAGGAGGTTACTAACTCGAATTATAATCACGTCCAGCTGCAGACTCTTTCAATGGTATATAGAAATGAATCATATCTGATCCACGATGAGCTTCCCCATAAACAAAGCCTCGACTCTATCTACATTCGGCACCACTCCACATTCAATCTGCAGTTAATGACGAGTGGAACTTTAAAATCGCAAAACTCCTGAGTTACTTCACTGATTATGCAGAAATATCAGGAAGGTTGTTAAATACTAAATTTATGTGAGTAAATGTGAGGCCTTTTAAATACTCAAAGTTTCACCACCTCCCATTTATGAAACTATGCACTTGTCAGTCCGTCGATGAAAACATAATTCCGGCCTATA